TTTTATTTGTCTGTTTGACCTGTGTAGAGGTCACTCCAGAAATAATCCTGTGTTAAAGTGAACTTCGTGTAGAGCAAGATTCTGTATGAAAACTGTAATATTTCACCCTAGCTTCCTATTAAAATAATATAAAAATAGTGTTTTGGTAATTTTGAAATTGAAATAGAAAGCTGCCCTCTTGATAGTTGAGCTAAGTGATTCTTAGAATGTTGGACTGTTTATAGATTGGAGTGAGGCTTGAGATTTTTCCCACAGCTGAGCTGCATTCTAGTTGCCAGAAGTATTTTAAGAACCTTAAACTTGTGTCTTTTTCCAAGTGTCATGCCTTGAGCAGGCCTAACATCAGTTAAATGAAGTGAAAATTGCATTCTTGTCTTGATAGAGATGAAAATGGATTTCTGGTCATGAAATAGATGTAGTTGTCACTTTTTTAAAAAGGTGTCAGCAGTTTGCTTCGGCAAGTAAGGTGCCAATTCAGTATGACAGTAAACTTGTGATCTGAGCAATCAATAAAATGCTTCAATAACTTCTGCTTCATTACACTTATAATAAGAGGCTATAGATCTGTGGCACATAAAATGTTGATAAAGAGGATGCGTAGGGACTCAGTGTGACATTTTGTTTTAGTAATACAGTAAGTGCAATGTTGCCATCTAGAGTTTGTGCATAGGTAATTATTCTGAAAGCAAAAGCCCCGGTGAAAAAATAAACATTGATTTTTTGTTTCCATCACTTCGTGGCGTGTGTGTCGATCTGTATGGAATAGTTGGTTCACCTGCCTTGCCAAAAAATTGTGTAGGGCAGGAAAAGGAAGAGAATTTCAATTATTTTTATGCTTTTTCATTAAGAATTGTGTAAGGACAAAATTCCTCCCCACCACCTCCCCCCATCCCAAGCTAAGGTTTAAATGCATCTAAGGAACAATTATCACTTAAATAGATCAAGTTGTTGCCAGCTACTAACAAAAATCACTGCCATGATTTGACACCTGTAAAAGGGGACGAGAGAAGCTTTGTAGTCACTGGGAGTTAATGTTGTGATGTTCCACGTTCTGACCAAGGGTTCCTGCAGTTGATTTATGTGTTATGAGACCATAAATGGCTCCTGCTGGCTGTTCATAAACATACATTGCAGGGGAATTGTCTCTGAGCTATTTATCTTGGGAGAAAATGATTTTGATATGTTAAATAGAGGGGGTTCTACCCTTTTAATATGGATGGCACCTGATTGATAGAACCTACAAAGAGCCATATTGCATTTTGAATAAATAAAATTTCATTTAGATCTAGAGAGGCTTTTGTTTCACAGGGGAATTATTGGAAGCCCTAAATTCTTCTGAAAAGTATTTTTAAAAGATGTAGAACCAGAGTTCTGTCTATCAGCATGAAGTATGGGCGTATCTAGTCCAGCAGTCTAAGTGTTTTATTTCAGTAAAAAGAAGTGGTTGAGGTTATTTGAGACTGGGTAATTAAAACCATCTTTGTGTAGACAATTCTAAGGTGAGTAGCTGCACAGATACAGAATGTCTGTTAAGAGAGTAAATAAATACTTTCCTTTTTATAAGCAGCAAGAATGATGTTGCCTTTGGCTTTCCTTCTGTTTGGTCTGTAATTTATAAACAATTTGTCTTCTGAGTATCAGAGCCTTATTGCAAGTTTGGTGGCTGCTCATGTGTCATTTCCTGATGAGGCAGGCTGCTAACTCTGTCCTGTGCTTTGCATTTCATTGTGAATTTCTTCTGCACAGATCATAAGTACAGGAGAGTAACTGGTGGAAATCTGTCTGAAATTGTGCTGAGCAGCTAAATGAATACTCTGAGAATGTAATTTCTGGATTTTTTTCACCACGGACGTGCATTGCTTTTCTTCCTGTTTGAACAGGAATATTTGCTAGAGAAATATGGTTCATGCTAAAAAATTACATATTGGTCGAAAGACCACAGTTGGAGGATGATATTATTCTTCAAATTAGAAACTAAGCGACTGTTTGGCACTAATGAAGTTTTAGTTATAGCAGGGTCCAACATTTTTGTCCACTGTATTTACCACTCAGGTTTGATTTAGCCTCACTGGCCACAGACCTGTTCACCTTTTGAATATGTTATGTGCTGAGGTGCCTCCTGCAAAATCAGGTGAATCCAAATAGGACATGGATTCTTTGGTGATGACAGGAGGCAAAGGGAATTTGTTACTTTCTATTTATTATCAGTTTTGTCACTGGATTGCCACAAAACACCCATGCAAGTAATGTGTCTCTGCACTGAAATATGAATTTCACTTTTTTTTTTTAGCTTTAGAATTCACACACTGGGAAGTCTTAGCACTTAGTCCAGACTAACTGTCTTTTATGGCATAAAAATAATTCCGATCAGTAGGAACCAGGTTCTAACAATGTGTCAGACAGAGACAGACAAATATTCCTGTATTTTATCAGTCTGAGATAGATATTGGCACACTGAGATTATTTTAGTTAATCCCAGGCTTTTTATCCTTCTTTGGGGATTGTGCAAGGTCAAATTACATCACATTTGAGAGTGAATAAATGTACCCTCAATCACTTCAGCTGACAAAGTTGTTAAACAGAGTAAATGGAGTGTGTGCCTGGGGACTCTAAGAGATTCTGCTGGTATAAGTGGGTTTATAACAAATTTCTGAGCTTTCAATATTATTCTGTTGTTCTCAACTAAGAAATATTGGTTAAGCAAAGAGATCTTCCCTTATATTGTTCATACACAATCTGTAAATAATCCACGTAGCACTACACAGCTAGCATTGAATCAAGATTAGTTTCAGAGGTCTCCTCTTCAAGCTCAGTAAGAAAACAGCTGACTGTCCACCCATGTGAAGTGGGATTACACTTGCAGGAGAGTCCTGGCTGCCACCAACATGCAGCACTGACTTTTTTTTTTCCTTTTTGAGAGTTAAATTAAATGTTGCACAATTATTAGATCTACTCTTTGAGCTAGTTCTTCCGCTAAGCCTATTAAAAAGTCGCTAAAATAAAAAATAGGAGCTCAGAACAGAACTTTGTAACTGCTCTGAAAATAAATTGTTGCATTTAGCAACTTTGAAAGTAATTAGGGAATTCTATTTCTAAAGTCAGTGGAAGTAGATTTGACAGATTTCCTCTAAATTACTCAACCACCTACAGGTATTACTGCCAAGATTCTTTTGAAACGAGAATAAATTTTCTGCAGTTCCAACAGCAGAGTGAAGGGGTGTGTTTGATAGATTCCCTGAGCTGTTTCAACACCCACAGGTATTATTTGTAAGGAAACAATCATGCAGAGCCTTCAGCTGGTTAGAGAGGGCACAGCATTCCATCTTCACCTGCCATCCTCGCTGCTCTCCCAGCAGCCCGTGCCCCCGGCCCGCCACCCACTCCTCCCAAAACAAAGCTCACCAAGAGGCTTTGCTGTCAATGCACAAGAATATCAGTGTTTTTTAAAGGCTCTGAAAGTCATTGTTCCTGGCAGACCAAAAGGATTGAGGTGGGAGAAGGGAAACTGTCTTTAGGATTGATTAGTGTACCCCACATTCTTTCCTAATTAATCAATGTTATTGTTTAGTTGTACCCTCTCAAAAGGTAATTATTTACTGGCTTAAAAGCTGAACGTAAGAAAAAAACATATCCAAAAAGATGTAAATGAAAGTTTTATTTGCTTTATTCTCTCTTTAGTTTAACTTGTTTCGAACTTGTAAAGACTGGTTTGTCGTATTTTAAACAACCAAGTCCTGAAATACTCAGCATGGGTTCTTCAAATTGCATAAATTTTACCTAAGGGGGTTTAACAGGAGAAGCTTAAGTTTGTAAAAATTAAACATTGTGATGCTGAACATTTCTCCAAGATGCTTTTTTAATGTTTTGGTTGTATTTCCATATACTTTTTATAAAATTTATTCCAGTATTGTCTAAAAGATCCAAAAAGACCAGGCCAGTTTACTGTGCATGCACTGGATTTATTATATATCACACAAATGTAGTATCCTGCACCTTATAGTGTAATTTTATTGAAATTTATCATATATTTTAAATTTTGATAATTTTTCTGCTATTGTATATTCTAAAAATTTACCATTTTTCCGAAGCCTTTAAGCTTTTTTTGTAGTTTTCTTTTTTAACAGTCTGCTATGTTTATTATTTTCCTTGAGCAATTATTTAAATGCAGTATTAAAACTATACATATTGCTATTTAAAAATTAAGCTAATTCAGTTTTATTTTGTATATATTAGGGATGTAAATCAAAACTGTCTTCTCAGTTTATGGTGTCTTGCAGTATTCAAGGACATTAAAACAAATTACTTCTAAACTTTCTTCTCTAGCAAACAACACTAAATCCATCCTTCTCTTTTTCTTGCTGAGTAATTTTTTTCACAAGCTAAGGAATAGAGCAACCACCTTATTTAGTACAGCTGCAAATAGTGAAGAGCTGCACTGCCAGACTGTGATGACTGAAACAAGGGTTTTCTTCAGAGCACCCAGAAATTTCTGCTGCCCCATCCCAGTTGTGCTCATATGATTTATGAGCTGCATTCTTTTGTTCGGAGGTAGTGATAAACATCTGCATCCTGTCACAAACCTGTATTTCTTTTTCAGCTTAATCTTCTCTGCAGAGTCTCTTCTTTACAGACACACACACTGACTTAAATTTTTTTTTCTACCATTGTAGCAAAGAAAGTTGTCAATATCAGTCATTGTGGGGTTTTTTTGTCCTGAACTATCTCAGCTGCTTCACCCACCTGAGTTCCACCCTATCAAGTGTGCATCTTGTCTTCAAAAAATGATTTCTCGTAATTTATTGGCAAGTGGGATGCTTTCCCAGTTTGTGTTCTGTGCTCTTAAAGACAGCAGTTGTTCAAAGTGAAAGTAAAATTCCTTTGGGCTAACTATCAGAATTTATGGGCATTATATATCCATAGCTCTATAAATGAACTGCAAGCCTGAGTTGGCCTCTTAGTCAAAGTTGCAAACTTTATTCCAAAACTCTCCATTGGTGCAGGAACAAGCTGTTGTTGGCCCAGCCTGATGTGACCACCAAAGCACTTGAGCAGGACTGGATTTCAGCTGGCTTGGCTCATTTGGGGACCCAAATATTCACCTCTTACTTGCCAGAATGGTTAAGTGTGTGCCTTTTGCCTGCTACATCTCCCCAGGACCACTTTTAGCAGAGTCCAGGTGCTGCCTGCCAGAAGTTAAGAGGAATTTTGTAATTTACCAGGATTCTGTCAGCCCCGTCTGTCCAGGTAGCCCAAAATACAGATGTTCTGGAAGAAATTATGTGGATGTATTGAGTAAAAGAAAAACCATGTGAAATGGCATGTCCTCCCCTGCTGCCTACATTGGGCTGGTAGCAATAGTTTACAAGGTATCCTAAAATGTGTGTAGCTGCATGTTTTTTCAGTAAAACTTAACTGCAATCCATGGTCACCACTGGTCTTGACTCATTAAAAAATATAGAAGGTAGAAATGGCACATGAAAAAGGAAGAAGTGCTCCCCAGTTGGAAAAAAGTATTTAATGAGCTGCTGCACCCATTTCTCAAGAACACATAGAATGAAAAATAGTCTTGAAGACCTGATAGAACTCTTTAAAAGCACAAAACACGATCAAAGGACTAATTTTTCAAGTGAAAGGAGACAATTATCTCATTAAAGTCTTGAAGAATTTGGACAAGTCACAAAAAAACTATGTTAAAGCCTGCAGTAGCATGGTTTTTCCCTGCCAAGAATGAAAATAGCACAGACTTTTCTGGAAAAGAAGTCTTTTGTAGAGAACCAAGTGTCTGTTGAATGCTTTGTGGTTAAACACTTATCTCCCAAGGTCCAGAAAACTCAAGTCCAAGGTCTGTAAAAAAGGAAACAAGTTCTTAGTGTTGATGTACTTGAGGTAACTGACAACAATCTTTTTTGATAATTGAACAAATGCCTTTAAGTATTCCAAATAACTGCAAGGAAGTTAAAATTGGGATAGCTATTGCACTTATCTGCCAGAGACCCTTATGAAAAGTCCAGATTGAATTAAGGCTTTAAAAAGGTAGAACAACCAGGAGTCATCTGGTACGACAACTATACTTACTAGATCAAATTTCTAAAAAAGAATTGGGGTTTCTACTCTCTGTTTTGCTACAATAAGCTGTCTGAGAACTGTCTGCTCCAATGATTAAAAGATTTCTTCTACTTTTCATTAAAAATTTTCATGTCTCTTTAATTTTAATTCCTTCCTTTTTAGACAGAATTTACCTGTAAAAGCTCTGCATCTTCTTTACTATTTACCTCCTCTCCATATATTTTTAGAGAGCAGTCATATCTCTTTTCAGCTTTTTTTTTAGTTATTCATAGACTAAACTGAGTCTTCTGTGGGAGATGCTTTTTGTTCTTTAACCACAGTAATATTCCTCAGTGCACCTGTTTTTTTCTTGCTAGAACATAAAAGGTCCACCTTATTTCAAGCTATTTAATGGCTTCATAGGGTGCTTTCTAGTTGCATGAATATATTATAATCTTTATTATTTAGAATTTATGTTCACTATTTTCTATTCATACGATGACCTCTCTGATATTAAAATATGTGTTTAAAATATTTGTTATTTTTATATCAAAATAGAAAATGAAGAATTTTTTATTTCCCTCAGTATTTTAAGTGTTTGAGTTTTACTTTCTAGGTCATACCATACTATTTTTCATTATTAACTTACACTGCTACCTTACTATGCTTATTCTGTATTTTCTAAAAAATTCATTCTTTTCAATACTTGTATTCCAGGCATAATCTTCCAGTGTGTTTGCTACCTGAATGATACAGGGTTTCATTCTTGTTAAGACATCAGGGGATTTTTGTTAGTTTTTTTCCATCCCCTCTGGGATTTTTAGAGATGACACCCACTTTTTTGTAGTCACACAAGGTTTCAGTAATTCTTACAATAACTACTAAACCTTTCCAATTAATATCTTTTACAATTTTATTTACTCCTTGGATTGTTAAAATTAAAAGTGAAAATAATGGAAACCTCTTTTCTCATTGACCTATGGTCGTTTTAGCTGCCAAAATGTGAGCAGATAGTAAAGGATATGATTTCTTTGAATGAATGAGTTCTGAAAGAATGAAACTAATGTGACTCTCCTTTGAAACTCTGGATAAGCTATTTTTAATACAGTAACTATTATGCATAAAGTTATGTTTATGAAATGTCATAAATGTATTGAGTGTAGAAGTACGTACAAAAATCTTTTTGATAAGAGTCAATCTTTTATGTCTAGGTACTTCAAAAGCTCAAAATCAAATTTTACTTTATTGTTCTTCATTCATTATTTCTTGATTCTTTGTCAACTTTGCCAAACATGTTCTCTCCTGAATTGCTTACAAAAATTACCTTCTTCTGGTTTGAAATTGGTTTGTTTTACTTTGTGGCACTTTTTATCCTATATAACTTCCAAATGTGGATGTATCGTAGTACAACAGGGTACTCCAGTTGTTCTGGAGTGAATGACAGTGTTCTGCATTGCTGAAATTGCAGCTGATAGGAAATTAAGTGAAAGAGTGCAAATTGAAAATTAATTCTTGTAGCTGCTTATTGGAGGCAGAGTTTTCATAAAGTGCTTCTTTCTCCATGGTGGTTGATGCCTTGTGCAGGCTGCCCCAGAGCAGAGGCTGGGCAGAGCTACAGAATAAAGCAGGGATTCATTCCAAGGATCTCCTCCATGGATGCACCTTGGGCAGCACCAGAGCCCAGCCAGGGCTGCACCCAAGATGAACCCAAATGGCCCCAAAATGCACGAGCGCTGCCGGGGTCTCTCCCTGGGCTCAGCTCTGCTCCATGTGCACATTGCAGTTCAGTGTCCAGTTCCAGCTGCAGCCCCTGCAGTCCCATCCTGCTTGTTTTTCTCTCTGCAGCCCATGGGATTTGTGCTTCTGGGCTGAGATTTGGATCATTTGTCCTTGGTGCCCAGCTGGAGCAGGAATTGTTTTGTCTCCCTGCTCTGTGCACAGAGCTCACCATGCCCTTCATGTGAAGCTCAGACCCACACGCTAAAGCAGCCCAGAATGTGAGAAATAGAAAAGCTAAACCTGAGGCATCATGGTAGTTACAAATATCTGCTCTCCCAGTCTGTGTCCCTTTTCTTTTTCACATGGAGATAGAAGAACTAAACAGTTTTCAGTCTTCAAAAGGTGCTGATCTGTTAACACTGTAAGAATTATTGATTATTAATTCCAGCTATGATCTTCCACTGTCATTGAGGGATATTCTCAGGCCTAATGCTCTGCTTAGGAAGATGCCCCTTGAAAAATAGTTTCCAACTCCCTTTTTGTGGCTGACTTTGATGTGAGAAGTTTTGTTGTGTGATGCAGGTGTCCATCAGCTTCTGCAGCTTGGCTCCCTTGGCAGATTGGTTCTCCTGGACTGCAGTGACCACCCCAGCCAGGGGAAGGGCTTGGACATTTTGCTGCAAATACACGCCCTCAAAACATCCAGTGAAGGAGGTCTGTAAAATCTTAATGCTGAAGATTTAACTATTTCACATTTACTAAATCATTTGCCCAATATTCATTTCTATATTTAGTATCATGTTTTGTCTCCTCTCCCCTTCTTCGTCTGTCTTTTCTTTAGAATAAGTTTATATTTTTTCTTACGTCGTATAAACTAAAATTTAGTTTTGAAGATTACTGCAAATGTCACTGAACAATGGACACTACATGTAGGAAAACAACCTGGTGTCAGGAAATATAACAATCAAGAAACTCTTTTCCAATGGCAACAGCTTTTACATTATTCCTAACTGATGTAAGTTTTTGTTTGCAGGAAACTTGCCATCTTTTAAGGAAAGGTGTAAATCAAGATGTTCCCAGCCTTGATTTACTTTTGAAAAGTTCATAGCTTACATGAAATATGGATTTTTAGGAAAGAATTACTTCTGTTGATCTTGCAGAGATATATCATTGCTGTGCTTAGTTTGAGCACTATGTGTAGTATTCTTCTAAGGGATGAAATTTGCTTAAAAGCTGGTATTTTTAAGAATCAAATTCACATGTGGCTTGGTCTGAATACCATAGACTTGAATTTTACAGTATGTATTTTCTGCCTAGGGAGGAGAACTTTTGAGGGGTCCACACTTTTTATCAATATTTAATTTATCCTTAAATCAGGCTTCTGTAGAGCCCTGAGCATTGCAGCAGTCTCGTGGCCCCCCTGTGAATGCCAGTCACAGGATGCAGATATCCTGCAACATTCCCTGTTTTCCCAGGGCTGGCATCTGGCTGCTCTGTGGATTCCTGAGGCGGTTCTGGGAGCACTGATGCCTGCAGGTCCTCATGTGATGGAGCTGCAGATGGAGCAATGCCCTCTCCTTTTTCATGTTTTGATCATAATGGGGAGCCTATTTGTATATAATTTTAAAAAGCTATTCCCCCTCTAATAACAATTAAAAAACCTCAAATTTTTAAAGAAATTTTTTGAATCTTTTCTGTCACTACTGAAATATATTACAGTTAGCCTTTCCAACCCCCTAGATCTCTTAGTTTTTAATTTGATGCCATACAAATCTGGTTTTAATGATGTTGATCAAAAGTAATTTCCCATGTTTAAACACTAGCTGAGAAAAATATCAATGGGGACTTCAAGGCCATTCCTGAACAAGTGCCTGACTAGGGATAACTCTACTCATTGATGTTAAAGAGCTAAAAAAAAAAGCAGGATAAATTACATAATTTCTGTAATAAAAAACTATCAAGTGCTGTTTTTATACCAATATCTCAAATATCTATGGTATAAAATAAATTCTTTCAAATTATCCAGCTGCTGATATTTATAATTTATGTAATGAGAAGTGATGTAAGTTCCTATTACAGGCAGCATGTACTGAAATCTGGAAGATTTGGGTTGAAGTATAGCTGATGCTTGGCTTTGGATTGCAGAGGGCCATTTCTGAACCTTACTGATTAAAATAGCCAAATGTTCTAGCTTTGGTCTTAGAAAAACCTTTACAGAATAGGTGCTGTATTTCTAGGGAGGTGCAGGTGTAGCTAATTCTTTACTAAAATGCAAACTTTTCCTAGGCAGCATTTTTTCCTTCTATTTAAGAACTATTAATCCTTTGTCTTCATAGCAGTCTCAAATTAATATTTGCATAAAATTCTTCAGATCATTTCATTATTTTGTTTAATAGAGTTTTCCTCTTAAGATTACAGCCTCTTCCATTAAATTGCAAATTATGCAAACAAAGTACGCCTACTTAACTTTGGCAATCCTGCTTTGCCAAATGACTATTGTTTCACTGTTCATTTCTTCAGAGGATTACTTTTTAAATTAGTGAACTAAAATGAAAAAAGTGCATGTTTCTCCTCTCTTGTTTGTAACCCATAATTTTCCTAAGGCCAATTTAAGGTATATTGTCTTTTAGAATGACATTAAATTAGACCTCAGTCATCTGCTTCCTGTCACTTTCTATTATTTTGTACTTGTTCATCAATCCTTGGGGGAAATCAAAGCCTGTGTGGCTCCCATTTGAATCTGCATAATTCTCAGTGATGGCTGGGTCAGGAGGTGCCTCCCCATGATATTTAAATTTCTACCACAACTGGAGCCATTAACTCTTCCATGACGTGGTCATTCTCATAATTTTGTCAGTATGTGTCGTGTTATTCATCAAAGTATTTTCAATGTTAAATTTAATTCTGAATTATGATATTTTGATGTTGATAAGAATGCCAGTGGGGTTTTATAATGCTTGTATTGTCTAAGTCATGTCTGTACCTGCTCTTAGGCCATTCTAACTGCAGTTGCCAGCAATATTTGAAAGACTCTTCAGTCTTTTTCTTCTGTTCTGAAAATCATCTAAATATTGATTTGGTTTTTTAACTTGCAAGCTATTTTGTTTCCAGAAGTTAACTTCTGCTTGTACTTAAGTACACCCTCTTGTGCTATTTGTGAAATTCAGAGTGACCAGAGGTGGTTCTGGAGGGGATGTCCTGTTTG